TGCGTGGTGACTGTGGCGTCTAGCCGCTTTTGCAGCAGCCATGGTTATTGTGGTGGCTGTGGTAGGCCACCCACGTGGAGGTGATGTTTTTGGCATACTCCTTGGCACTGGCAGTATGCCCGGTTGTGGGGTGTGTTTGGTCCCCTTCTCCATGCCTCTGGTCCCTGGGCAGGCCTCAAGGCGCTGGTGCCATGTGCCTGGTTGTGGGAGAGGGGTCCACAAACCATCTTTTTAGTACCGTGAATGTTCTTGTGTATTTGTTTCATAGATTAATTAGTTTTTTTTCTCTGCATAGTTTGTTTCTTCAAAGCTCCTTTTTTCTGGGGTCCCCCCCCCATGTTCAACAGGTTTTCCTTGTGTTGTTTCTTCAAAGCTCCTTTTTTCTGGGGTTCCCCCCCCCCATGTTCAACAGGTTTTCCTTGTGTTTGTGGTGATTCTTGATTAACCGTTCATGGTTAAAAGTGGAAGTTGTGGGTGTTTGGGTGGTGGGTAGGCTGATAGATTCCTGACTTGTAGGGTGTGTATGTCTGTGTGTCTGTGTCCTACTGACTGTAGACCCCGTCAGTATTTCTAGGTCTTTTCTCTAGGGCTTGTCAAAATCAGTACAAAACAATCTTTCAGTTTCCTTCCTAGAAGGTACAGGCTTAACTGCTATCCTCCAGGAGCCTTTGAGTAGGCAAAAAGATCTTTGGGTAGAGGGAGTGGGTTTCAGCAATCAGCATGTATACTCCTATATATTCCTTCTGCTAGTGTGATACCTTTACCCTCTACTGTTCGTATTGAGCCTCCAGGACAAAGAGCTTTTGTTTCACCCCTTCAAGGACTTAATCCAGTCTTCAGAGGGTGATGCAGGGGCTAGTAATTGGAATGGCAATCTGGAGTCTTATCTTCTTTTTTGAGTCCTATTTTTATCCTGATCTGCTGTGGAATCTTAGGGGGGGTCTGTGGTGTAAATACAGCTGCTTCTCAGCTTTCCCCATTCCTAGCTTAGGATTCAGGTTTTCTTGAGTCTGCTAGGTCAGTTATTTGTTCTTTGTAGCTTCCATATTTTTAAATTTTTATGATCTGCTCTCTTGTTTTTTATCCTTGACGTTTACAGTTTTGTCTTGTTTTGTTTTAATCTAGTACTTTATTTTTAGAAGGTTTTGGATTGGAATAGAGGTAAATGTGTTTAAATCTGCCTTCTTTAACTGTGTGTTAGTCTTTTTCTATGTATATAGCCATCTGTGTGCACTGTTTTTCCTCAAAATTGGATTTTACTTTACCAATTTAACCCATTTTTTTGGTAGTTTGAAACTATTTTCTATAACATAAAATGGATGTATGCTATTCTATTGGATGCATGTACCATAGTCTACTTCAAGTTAGAAATATTAAAACTAAGTGCTGAGTGTAAAGTGAACTTAGAATAAATAAGACTAATGGTAGGACAGGGTAAAATTATGGAGTGTCATATTTGATGAAAGCTGAATGGATGATTACTTTCTTCCTTTGTCCTTTTAAACATTTAAAAAATACTTTTTTTTTTTTTTAGGTGTTGTGTGATGTCTTAAGAGCATATTAAAGGAATGGTTTTATCAAATTTCTATGAGTTATGGTGGCTGAAACATCAACTCTGTCTTGTGGGAAAAGAAGTGTAAGTAAGACTCAAGGAATAAACTCATTTTCAACTCTTCTAAGCTTATATAAGACAAGTTATTGATTATTCATAGAAATGTACTTGGGATACTTCATTCTTAAGTATACAGACTAAATATTTCAAAAGGAGGAGTTAGATTATGATATCATTAAGGTTATTTTTGGTATTGCACTGCCATATTTCATGGATTGTATAAAATTTAATTTTTATTTTTTTATTTTTCAGAAATGGCAGCACAAAAGGAAATCTATATTAATAGAACATTTTGTTAAACAAAGGAGGTTAGATAAGAACTGCAAACCAACGGACTCAGCAAACAAGGAAAGAAACGTGTTAGCTGTAAGACATGTTTCAAATGAATCAAAGTCCAGTAACTGTAGACTTCAGAAGAAAAACTTTTCAAAAATTCTGTCAAAACAGACAGGTCAGTGAAAAATAAGTCCTCCAGTAATAGGGCTAGGCCTGAAACCAAAATTAACTGACAAATTAACAGAACAGATTGAACCTGAATTAAATTTCTTTTTGTTAAAAAAAACTTCTAAAAATATCAAATTAGATATTTTCCTAAAATTTCTATTGGCTTGTCCGAAGTAAAGCAACTATATTTGAGCATTCATGTCAGCTTTTCTCATGTCCTAGGAATGACAGACAGAAACCTTACTTGAAGCAAACTAATATTTTTGTTGAAAAATGTGTATTAGCATAAGTTAAAGTTGATTTTAAGGATTTGCTCCTCAGTAATAATACTAGCTATTCAGCATTCAGGCCTACCAGGACCAGAAAATCCTCTCAAAAACTACTCAGAAAAGGGAGACATTACTCAGGAATGATGTCTATTCAGGAGAAATCAAAAGAAAGTTCTTCCAGAGTTATTAAAAAAAGTGAAGATAAGAATTTAGAAATGGAAGTTCAAGATTCTCAAAAGAATCTAGCAAAAGTGTCAGGTCTAAAGGAAACCATAAAATCACTGGTTAAGTCTTCCAGTGAAAGTAAAATAAATCAGCCTGAATTGGTAACACGCATGAGTACAAGGTCAACAAAGGCAGCATCCAGTGATAAAAAAGATACTAAATCCGTTAATAAAAATATGGTGACTGTGAAGGGACATTCACAACAAGAATGTACAAAAAAGAAGAAATTATCTCAGAAAAAATTAGTGCATGAAACACCTAAAGCAAATGAACAGCTTAACCGGAGATCACAAAGACTGCAGCAGTTAACAGAGGTTTCGACAAGGTCTTTACGCAGTAGAGAGATTCAGGGTCAAGTTCAAGCAGTTAAACAGAGTCTGTCACCAACAAGAAAAGAGTACTATAGCAATACTCAAAGTAAGTCTAATAAAGTTAAAACAAGTCAAAAACATGTGAAAAGAAAAGTACTGGAAATAAAGTCTGACTCTAAAGAGGATGAATATTCAGTAATTAATGAAGTAATAAATTCCCCAAAAGGAAAAAAACGTAAAGTAGAGCATCAGACAGCTAATACTTGTAGCTCTCAGTGTGTACAAGGATCTGAAAAATGTCTTCTAAAGACTACTAGAAAAGTGGAAACAAAGCCTTTGCCTGTAACTTCTGAGATAAAAAGATCAAAAATGGCTACTTCAGTGGTCTCAAAAAAGCATGAGATGAAGAAGTCAGTTCATACACGAGTGAATACTAGTGCAAAATCCCAAAAATGTCCTCAGCCATCAGTGCCTGAACAAAGTATAGATAATGAGCTAGAGCAAGCAGGAAAGGGCAAACGAGGTAGCATTCTCCAGCTCTGTGAAGAAATTGCTGGTGAAATTGAGTCAGATACTGTAGAGGTAAAAAAGGAATCTTCACAAATGGAAAGCGTAAAGGAGGAGAAGCCTACAGAAATAAAATTGGAGGAGACTAATGTTGAAAGACAAATACTTCATCAGAAGGAAACAAATCAGGATATGCAGTGTAATCGTTTCTTCCCCAGTAGAAAAACAAAGCTTGTGAAATGTTTACTAAATGGAATAAACAGCTCAACTAAGAAGAACTCCAAATGGAATAAAATTAAACTCACAAAATTTAACTCTGTGCAGCAAAATAAGTTGGACTCTCAAGTTTCCCCTAAATTGGGGTTATTACGAACCAGTTTTTCACCACCAGCTTTAGAAGTGACTCAAAGTACATTTTTAGGGACAAAGCCACAAGATAAAAATACAGCTTGCCAGCAGCAAAAAATGAAAAAAATTGATTCTGAAGAAATTAAAATTAATGACATTACAGTTAAAATTAATAAAACCATACAAAGGGCTCCTGAAAATTGCCATTTGGGTGATCAAATAAAACCATCTCCTCATCCACCATTGGATAATCAGATGAAGCATTCTTTTGAATCAGCACCAGATAAGGTAATCCATTTTCATTATGCATAGTAGAAGTGCCTGGGTACTTTCTAATAAGAAACAAGTATTTACAACATATTTTATCTAAAGAGTTGTCGTAAAAGATGGAAGAGTCATTTGTTAAGGTATCTTATTAAGTTGTTAGCAAGAATTTTATTAGCCCAATCTTATAGTGATAGCACTTACTGATTCCTTTAGATGTCTCACATTTACGTGGATGCTGCTTCTTATTTCCTCATTTTCACCCTTTATTTTTATATTATGTAAAGCACAAACCTATCGAATTCCAGCTTTTCTTTTAAATTTAACACACCGATTTGTTTCCTTTTTCTGTTATAACCACAGAAAATATATTTCTTAATGACTGAAATCTAGAACTTAAAACTTGGACCCAGTTCTGACTAAGATATTAAAATTAATTTCAATTGGGACAAATCAACCTTTAATCCTGATAAAATTTAAAAGTTAAACACTTTTTTTTTTTTTTAGAAAAGAGTACTATAGCAATACTCAAAGTAAGTCTAATAAAGTTAAAACAAGTCAAAAACATGTGAAAAGAAAAGTACTGGAAATAAAGTCTGACTCTAAAGAGGATGAATATTCAGTAATTAATGAAGTAATAAATTCCCCAAAAGGAAAAAAACGTAAAGTAGAGCATCAGACAGCTAATACTTGTAGCTCTCAGTGTGTACAAGGATCTGAAAAATGTCTTCTAAAGACTACTAGAAAAGTGGAAACAAAGCCTTTGCCTGTAACTTCTGAGATAAAAAGATCAAAAATGGCTACTTCAGTGGTCTCAAAAAAGCATGAGATGAAGAAGTCAGTTCATACACGAGTGAATACTAGTGCAAAATCCCAAAAATGTCCTCAGCCATCAGTGCCTGAACAAAGTATAGATAATGAGCTAGAGCAAGCAGGAAAGGGCAAACGAGGTAGCATTCTCCAGCTCTGGCCGCACTCCCAGGCAGCGCACTGTAGCAGTGCGCCACTGGGCCGGCCCAAAGTTAAACACTTTTAAAGGGATGCCTTTTGGTTTGACTTGTGTGGCCATCTTGAACAGTTGGCAAAATGAAAGGTCTGAGAGGTATAAATAATTTAGTCGTCAGTCTAAGAATAAAATTTTAGTGACCAAAAGTTTTTAAAATGGAAATTGAAAATGAAAATCTTATATCTGGAAGAAATTTTAATGATTATAAAAGTGGCTGTGGGCCGGCCCGGTGGTGCACTTGGTAGAGTGCGGTGCTTGGGAGTGCAGCAGCGCTCCCACCGAGGGTTTGGATCCCATATAGAGACCGGTCCGCTCACTGGTTGAGCGCGGTGCGGGTGCGACACCAAGGGTTGCGATCCTGTTGCTGGTCGCAGTACGGGTGCGACACTGAGGGTTGCGATCCCGTTACCGGTCACGAAAAAAGACAAAAAGGGGAAAAAAAAAAAAAGTGGCTGAGTTCTTTTCTTTCTGAAGTAAATTGTATGTAGAATACCAACGTATAAAACCAATAAGCAGAAATTTTACATGTATACAATTCTGGAGCACTATAATACAGACCAAAAAACCCCCAAAAGCCAAAAAAAAACCCCACCTCATTAACTTGTATTAATTATTTAATTTTGTGTTGAGAAAACAGAGTGGAATGTGATTTATGTAGGTCACATGTTTGGTGGCACAAATAGGGTTAGGATCCAGGTGTTCTAATTCTTAGCGCAACATTCTTTGTACAACAGCATACTCTCATTTTTTTTTTTTTTTCTTTTTGGTGTCTGTCTGGTAACGGAACAACAGCATACTCTGAACATTAGAAAATCATTTGAGGGCCGGCCCGGTGGCGCACTGGATAAGTGCGCTGCTTGGGAAGCGCGGCGGCGCTCNAAAAAAAAAAAAAAAAAAAAAAAAAAAAAAAAGAAAATCATTTGAGCAAAAAAGTCATAAGTGGAGAAAAAAGTCAAGTCACTTAAAGTTTTGAGAGTGATTTAAAGTTCTTTTTAGAGGTATTTGGTCTAGGAGCAAATTTGAGTGAGTTAGGAATCTGGGCATTATGCCAGAAGCTGTGAGAATAGATCGGTGTCTGTTGTTCTGGGCTGAAAATCAAAGTGAATTTAAAGGGAGCAGACATTGTATTGTGCTCTTAGATTTTATTTTCTATATAAATGGGAATGAAAGCATTAATTAAAAGATGATTCAGAGAGGTTTTACCAAAAAACCACAGAACCCTTACATCAATGAAAACTTTTTCAGTGGCCACCTGTAATTTTGCTCTTGATTATATGGTGTCAGTCTCAGCAGTACTGAAAAATGATGGTGATTGATAAGGCTAAAGTGTTTGATAGGACTTCTCTGAACTCATTGGGCTGAATTTAAATTATTAGGATCTTATGAATTTTAAAGCTCAATTATTTTATGATTTGCTTTTTTAACCAATAATATACTAACTTCTTATTAATGAAGATTAGAGTAATCAGTAACATGTCATGGTTCTTGTTTTTAATTGTTTTGCTTTGTTTTTCAATGACAAAAATTGTGTTAGTTTATCAAAAATATAATGTTCAAAAAATAATGTTACACATTCATTGTAACAATCACAAGACAGATACACACAAAATTGCTTCCCTCCTCATTTCCATTTCACTGAGACAGCCAATGATGGTGGAGTTTGGAGTATTTTCTATTATAAGTTACTAATTGAGTATCTGCTTTGACAAGGTTCTGAATTAGGGGCTCTTAGGAATAAAAAGATTAGTATGATATGGTTTCTGCTCTTAAGAGTTATAGATGAGTTAAATACAAATAAATGATTCAAAATAGGAAGTGATAAGGACATGAAAAGAGGTATAGATAAAGTAGACGAAGGAGAATTAGGGAAGATTAGGAAAGACTTCGTGGAAGAGGTTAATATTTGAATAATGAGTTGAATTTATATGGGGGGAAGGTATTCTATCAGCACTATCCAGTAAAAATATAATATGAGCCACATATATAATTTTAAGTTATCTTGCAGCCACATTAATGGAGCAAAAGAAACACGTAAAATTAATTATAATATATTTTATTTAACTTGCCATTTAAAAATATTATCCTTGCCTTT